TCTGAACTGTTCAGATCTAATGTGGGAGGGGCTGCCAAGAAAGGAAAGGGGACAGTGGAAGAGAGAGTTCCTTTGTTATTTGGGAAGGTCTGTGTGGCTTCGCAGCCTCAGATCTATTTGAGCAGAATTGCAGTTCTGGATGGAGAAATAACTGCCGGATGCTGACTGAGGAGTCAGTGGAGTCATTTATATACAGCTTTGGTTTTAAACTTTTCCTCGCATGTGTAAATATTTTTGTGTGTGTAGTTGCAAAGAACTTCTGAGCACTGGGAAATGGAGACCTGATGACCAAGTGTGGTGAATTACGAGCCTCCAGGCCACTAACCCACCACAGCACCATCAAAAGTGGCGACCACACTTATCACACACTGCCATAAGACAGCTTCACATTCATCATCCATGCATGAAAAATAACGTAAAATAGCCATATAAGCATGTGTTTTTTTTAAACACAGAATGGTATGTGAATAATGATCTTGAATTATCTTGAGAAGTATTGCCAGCATGTGCCCCAACTATAATCACACAGAGGGGATTAACTGTTAGGAACGAGAAAGTTGAACAAATGAAGATCTGTATCCTAAAATGCAGTTCAAAAAAATGATATTGAGACTCCTAACAACCATGCAAGACCTGGTAGACCACCATAGCTGTCCCCATCAGACAGCACTTACAGCTTTCATCTTTGAGAGAGAGAAAGAGGAGAAACTACTCTCTACTACTGGTGGTCTCAGAACAATGGGCTGATGACCCCAAAGTCCAGACCTCAACATCAAAATGTTTGGGATTATGTGGATGGTGAGAAGCAGAAAATGCTGAACTGAAGAGTCCCTGCAGATTCTTTAAAAAACTGAAAACAAATCTCTTGGAAAAAAAATACTGTAATAAAGTTAAAGAGTGGACACACTAAACACTGAAAAAATTAAATATTCAGTTGTTGAGGCTCTTGTGTAATTTTCTGTTTTATATATATATATATATATATATATATATATATATATATATATATATATTCTGTTCTTTATTCCTGATGCTGAAAAATAATCAATGCTATATGTACTTAATGGCCATTTTGCTTTGTGATTAGAATATCCAAGCAGTGTCCAGTGTGTCCAATGGCAGTGCATTCATTAACACTGTTTGCATGCTGACTTATAAAGCACTTGCTGACTTATAAAGCACTAAACGGACTCGCCCCGCTGTACCTGAGTGAACTTCTCTCTCACTATGAACCATCCCGCCTACTTAGATCACAAGGTGCTGGCTTACTATTAGTACCCAGAATTAATAAAGTTACGTCAGGGGGGAGAGCTTTCTCATACAAAGCCCCCCAGCTTTGGAATAATCTTCCTGTTAATGTTCGGGACTCAGACACAGCCTCAGTGTTTAAGTCTAAGCTAAAAACCTACTTGTATATTCAAGCCTTTGGTAATTAGTTTTCCCTGTTAGTTCTATACCTGCCAGAGTCTCTGCTAACACTGTAATTTGTGATCGGTCACCCATTGCAGAACTAACTCTGTGTGTTTTCCTCTCTGTGTGTTTTCCTTTCTTTTCTTCGCCGAGTTGAACAGCTGCCCATCCTGTGCGTTCTGATGCTGCTGCCTTTTCTGCCTCGATCGGGTGCCACTGCTCGCCAGCCCTCTGGACCGGGTTACCAACATTGAGCCTCCTGCTGTACAACGCCGTGCAAACCTCACCCTCACAACCTGACCCCACTGATACTACTGCTGTTGCTGCATGAACTATTCAAAATTATTCACTTGAACCAATCAATCATTCAAACTAATTCAAATTAATCAATCACCCATTGACTGTGTTTTTCCTCTCTTTCTTTTGCCGAGTTGAACAGCTGCCCATCCTGCTGCTGATGCTGCTGCCTTGATCGGGTGCCACTGCTCACCGTGCAAACCTCACCCCCACAACCTGACCCCACTGATGCTGCTGCTGCTGCAGCATGAACTGAACTATTCAAATTAATTGTTTCCTTCACCTTTTACCCTGTTTTTGTACTATAATACTTTATACTAACAATGTTTACTATCCGGTGTCGACCAGAGGAGGATGGGTTCCCCTTCTGAGTCCTGGTTCCTCTCAAGGTTTCTTCCTGTTTCTCTTAGGGAGTTTTTCCTTGCCACTGTCGCCACTGGCGACGCTCATGGGGGCTCGGACCTGGATTTCTTTTTGTAATGCTCATTTCCTTGTAAAGCTGCTTTGTGACAACACCTGTTGTAAAAAGTGCTATATAAATAAACTTTACTTACTTACTTACTTACATTGTCACATGCTGTTGCCATGGCAATGGTTATATTTTGTCACATGAAAGCCAATCACCTAAGGTGGATTCATTCATGTATTTTGTGTATTAATAAATATTTAATTACACACACTTTCAGAGAACTTCAGCGGGCAGGCCTCACTATGTGAAGTCAAATAAGACAAACAGGAAGGCTGTTCAAATAAAAGAACACAATCTTCACATAAAGTCTTCAGATTACCAAAGGAAAGGAAAAAAAATGGACTTTTACATTGTAGTTAGACAAAAAACTATGAAAAAATTAATGACTGCCATATAAAAACACTACATAGTAAAGAGTTCAGCCACATATATAGAACTATTTTTCTGTTTTAAAGCCAGAGTCAGATGTAAATATAATGTACATGAATAAAAAATGCAAAAACTAACCAAGCTGCACCTCCTGATAGGCGATCATGCAGTTGATTCCCTCATGAAGCTCACAGTGGTAGAGAGACCCAGATCAGACTGCTGTACATTACGGAGGAGGATGGAGAAGTTTCCAGATTCTGAGAGTTTGGGGAACGTCTTAATACGTCCACCTCTGTTATTCCAGAACTGTACTAGACCCTGCAGCTTGATCTCCACTAGATTATCCGCTGTTATAGTCCTCTGACTTCACACTGCGGCTATATCTGCAGTCTTGTTTAATCCGAGGAGGGTTGGTTTAAAGTTACATGGCAGCAGAACATCAGACTGCAGCTCAGTGGTTACGTTGCTTCTGCCAACATACTGCATTTGACATCCTCTAGATCCTGTGTGAAAGCATGAAAACCATCATCAGCCATAAAAACCACCAAAACCATCATTAAGAAGAAGCTAATGTAGATGTCTATGAGAATACAGCTCACCTTTGACCAAACAGCACCACCAAAGCATCCACAAACCAAAGAATCTCAGCTCAAAGAGCAGAACCATTGTGTGTTTCACCTGCTTATCGCTGCAGTATCTGGAAAACAGCCTGAGAAAGTGCAGCGATGGCAAGAGATTGTTCTTAAATTCACTTCCTGAAAAAAGCTCAAACTAACAAACCACAGATACCCACAAGCTGTTCAGGTTTGCAAAGAGTTGAGGGTTTACAAAAATAGTACGTGCTCTATCGGCTTACCCTAGAATGGCATACAAGACATTAAGCTGGATTTAACACTTTATGCTCAGTGAGTTTATCTGAAAAGTCACTAGAGGTGATAAACAGTGATAAACGGTTTACAAATAGCTGATTAAAATCTTTCTGGTTCAACACTTGTGACTTTAATCACAAATTCACATGGACCAAGAAACACAAGTGCACCTTTCATTTATATCATTTCCAGTAAAAACAATAAAGTTATTCTTTTTTCAGAGTCAGGAAAAAAAAAACAGAAAACATTTAAATCTCCACTGTGTAAAATTTTTGGTAACATTTTACTGTAGGGTGCTGTCCTATAGGCATCATCTGTCATAAAGGCTACTTTAGCTAACTTTGATAGAAACTGGCAAATGTAACCTCTATAGCAAATGACGCCTGCTGGAATCAGCGTTTATAAATATTTATGTAGGGTTGTGTCAGTGGTCATGAAAAGCTTATGTAGGTGTCATGTAGCCTTATTTTCATTCCTGCATGTTTTAAGCATGCAGTTGATCAGTCCTTCCTAAAGAAGTATAATCTGGATGTAGGGGTTCTCAGTAACTACCAGCCTGTATCAAAACTTTTTTTGTCTAAAGGTCTAAAAAAAGTTGTGTTTATTCAAGTTAAATTTTTCTTAGACAACAGCAAAATTTATGAGACGTTTCAGTCGGATTTTAGGGCCTTTCACAGTACTGAGTCTGCTCTTTTAAAAGTGACTAACTATTGTTTACTTACTGCTGATTCTGGTGATTGTTCTGTCCTGGTCTTGCTGGACTTGAGTGCTGCATTTGACACTGTTGACCGTGATATACTCATTGAATGCTTGTAACACTGTGTTGGGGTCAAGAATTTGGCTCTTAAATGGTTAATTTCTTATATTAAACATAGAGCTTTTTCAGAAGGGTCCATCTTAGGTCCTCTCCTTTTTTCGTTATATATGCTCCCCCTAAGGCAAATTATTGGTGAACGTATCATCTCTTTTCATAGTTATGCAGATGATCTACAACTGTACTTAGGTTTAAACTTTGGAAATCACTCTATAGGAAGGCTCAATTAATGTGTCATGGATATTGAGAATTGGATGACCCAGAGCTTTCTTCAACTGAAGACTTAGATGATGTTAAGATGTTCCCATATTTTTGAGTTGTGCAGGTCTCTGTACTGTATTCTCTGCTATCTGTATTTTCCCTCTTGAAGTGATGTAAATGGTGAGCGCAAACATAGACAACTAATCAATGTGTTGCCAGTGATTTTGTGTATCATTATTGATAATGTTGATTAATTGTTGCAGCCCTAATTCACAGCAACCAACAAGAAGCTCCAGTTCCAAAAGAAGCTCCAGTTCAGTGCTTGATAAAACAAAGAAATTCCAGTTAATGTGGCAGATCAAAGAACATCCAGTAAAAAGAAGAACCGTGATGCATCATCTTGGTTTTAGCTTTTAAGTAAAGGATCTGTGACTCTCAACACGTTTCTCAGTGCATTTTAATTAGCTGACAGGACACTGGACAGTTGTGATGTAACAAAAGCAACTGTACAATTATGATAATAATAATCATATTTTATGTTGTTGTAGCGTTGACTGAAAAGTTCTCACTCCTATTATCATAATAAACAAAAGAAACGTAAATATAAAATATATATAAAAAGCTGTTTGATGTTGTTCAGCTTTATAAAGCCTGAATTGACAGTTTCTTCACAGCTACGTCTTTTTTCTCTCACAGTTGACATAGATTGAGTTTTCTTGTGTTGGATTTTGACCTAGGAAAGGAGAGAGAGAGCAGAGTTAGTGTGGCAGCTAACAGCGTTTTCATCATTACAGGTCAAAGTGAGTTGAAATACAGCAGCATTGAAAAGTTTGGAATCGCTGTTCAAAAGTTTGGAATCTATGTTTTCAGCAATGTAAAAAGATCCTAATATGTTAGTCCTGTACAACTTCGCAGGTTTCAAATAATTAGTAAAATACATAATTAAGAAATGTTTGATAGGATCAGAAGCTGTAGAAGATTCTAAAATGACTGAGGAAACTGTAGGGAGCAATGGGGTTGGTTTACACAGTGTCTGTTTCTTGTCAGTAGGGGGCAGTCTCACAAAAAATGTAACTTCAAAATGACTGACTTCTTGACCAACATTGAATTTGTCGAGAGCTCTGAACATTACAGTCCGTTAAGGTGAGAATATCAATGTTTATACATTATAGTAATGGTTTAAAAAGCACTACTAGAAATTTATTAATTTTACTTAGAAGACATTTTAATCAGCTATATTTTCATATATGCTTGGATTGCCGTCAATATGTAATGCTAGATAAAAAATAACTTTCATCCTAAACTTACATATTAAATATGAAATATAAATAGAGGACCTCTACTTTTACTTGAATGGTATTTTACAGAGATTATCTCTCTGGGTCAGCAATTGTGTACTTTGTCCACCACTGCATGTGTCAGACAACTCAATACTGGGGCTGGTTGGCATGAGTTCACAACAAGAATGGAATCATAAATGCACCAATTACAGAAAATGTTTTCTGACACTGTTCAGCTTCCATTTGATGTAAGGTGGCTTATAATAATGTGTGGGACACCTGGGATACACAGCAGAGTGAAAACTGTGCCAACCTACCCCACTCTCACTTATAACATCAAGAATTAGGCTATAATAAAATTACAATTAGAATTGATCACTTTCAAAAGTACAGAGATCAAAACTCAAGATGGATAATTAGTCAAACAATGAATGTAATTAGATAATTACTGTATATTATTCATCATTTCATTCACTTCTTGTTCCCATAATTCTTAAAATATTGAATAAACCATTTAGAAAAACTCTCTTAAAAATGATGGTTCTTCAAGGGTTCTTTAGCAAAGAAAATTGTTCCATATAGAACTATGAACATGCAAAGAACCCTTTTCATGATCTTTGCATCATGAAAGGGTTCTTCAGACTGATGGAGAATGTGCTGTAGATGGTTCTATATATAACCTTTTTGAAAAGGGTCCTATATAGAACCCAAAAGTGTTCTTCTATTGTTACAAGCTTGACATCTATGCTGTACTTGGTGCAGTATAGAACCCTTTTCTTAAGAACACTTTTATGATGCAAAGAACACTTTAATCATGCAAAGGTTTCTTTGAGTGTTCATGGTTCTGTATAGCACCATTTTCTTTACTGAAGAACTCTTGAAGAACCATCTCTTTTAAGAGTGTATCTACTACACCTCTCGATGTCACATCATATCCTGAGCTGAAAGTGCAGGTTAAAAAGGGTACCATATGGTACCAAAGGGTTCTTCTATTGTTACGATGTCATGCTTGTAGTAATAGAAGAACCCCTTTTGGTACTATATAGCACCATTTTCAAAAAGGATCTATATAGAACCATATACAACACATTCTCCATCAGTCCGAAGAACCTTTTCATGATGCAAAGAACCCTTTAATCATGCAAAGGGTTCGTTTAGTGTTCATGGTTCTATATGGAAGCATTTTCTTTACTAAAGAACCCTTGAAGAACCAACATTTTTAAAGGTGTAGATTTAAAGAATGGTAATGTTTAAACAGTAATATAAGTCCACACTGTATAAGTTAATACTGAATCTAAAATGACAGAAAGAGTTAAAATGGCAAATTGTATCAAAATGATGACCACCTGTGTCTGTAGGTCTATGACATACCTCGGTCCACCAAACACAATAGTCTCCTACACACATCAGATACCAGAGACAGTCATCTTACAGTCGTATCAATCCTACTGAAATACTCACAGCACCCTCTGCTGGTACTCCTCATTGTTCTGAGCTCCGTGTCGTTCTCTGTGTCGGAGAAACAGAACAACATCTGTCATTCCAGCTTTCACTGCATTGTAACTTGGTCAGTGCATCGTAAAAGTAAGTTTAACAGTTTTACCGTAAACAGCCTCGTCTTTTGTTTCTCTTTTACCTGAAGTTTAGATCAGGAAAAATCACAGATTCGGTCATTTTGATAGACACAACATGGGAATGTGAGCTGAGCAAAAGACTCAAATTACAATTAGAATTCATCATATTTGAAAAGTAAGGAGATCAGAACTCAAGGCGGATACCTAGACAATGAATGTAATGGACGAATGACTGTAAACAGATAATTACAGAATATTATTCATTGTTTATTCATTTCTTCTTCCCACAATTCATGAAATACTGAATAAACCATCTAAAAATACACTCTTAAAAATGATGGTTCTTCAAGGGTTCTTTAGTAAAGAAAATGGTTCTATATAGAGACATGAACACTCCAAGAACCCTTTGTGTCGTTAAAAGGTTCTTTGCATCATGAAAGTGTTCTTCAGACTGATGGAGAATGTGCTGTAGACGGATATATATAGAAGCTTTTTGAAAAGGGTTCTATGCAAAACCTTAAAAGTGTTCTTCTATTGTTACAAGCTTGACAATGGTGCTGTACTTGGTGCAGTATAGAACCCTTGTCAAAAAGGTTCTATATTGAACCATCTATGGCACATTCATGAAGCAAAGACCACTTTAGTCATGCAAAGGGTCCTTTGAGTGCTCATGGTTCTGTATAGAACCATTTTTTTACTAAAGAACCCTTGAAGAACCATCTTTTATAAGAGTGTAACTACTAAGACTCTCAACCACAATGTCACATCATATCTAGAACTGAAAGTGCAGGTTAAAAAGGGTTCTAAATAGCACCAAAAAGGGTACTTCCATTGTTACGATGTCATGCTTGTAATAATAGAAAAAACACTTTTGCTGCCATATAGAATCATTTTCAAAAAGGGTTTATAGAGAATCATCTACAGCACGTTCTCCATCAGTCTGAAGAATGCTTTCATGATGCAAAGAACCCTTTAATCATGCAAATGGTTCGAGTGTTTGAATGGTTCTATATGGAAGCATTTTCTTTACTAAAGAACCCTTGAAGAACCAACATTTTTAAAGGTGTAGATTTAAAGAATGGTAATGTTTAAACAGTAATATAAGTCCACACTGTATAAGTTAATACTGAATCTAAAATGACAGAAAGAGTTAAAATGGCAAATTATATCAAAATGATGACCACCTGTGTCTGTAGGTCTATGACAGACCACGGTCCACCAAACACAATAGTCTCCTACACACACCAGATACCAGAGACAGTCATCTTACAGTCATATCAATCCTACTGAAATACTCACAGCACCCTCTGCTGGTACTCTTCATTATTCTGAGCTCCGTGTCGTTCTCTGTGTCAGAGAAACAGAACAACATCTGTCATTCCAGCTTTCACTGCATTGTAACTTGGTCAGTGCATCGTAAAAGTAAGTTCAACAGTTTTACCGTAAACAGCCTCGTCTTTTGTTTCTCTTTTACCTGAAGTTTAGATCAGGAAAAATCACAGATTCGGTCATTTTGATAGACACAACATGGGAATGTGAGCTGAGCAAAAGACTCAAATTACAATTAGAATTCATCATATTTGAAAAGTAAGGAGATCAGAACTCAAGGCGGATACCTAGACAATGAATGTAAACAGATAATTACAGAATATTGCTCATTGTTTGTTCATTTCTTCTTCCCACAATTCATGAAATACTGAATAAACCATCTAAAAATACACTCTTAAAAATGATGGTTCTTCAAGGGTTCTTTAGTAAAGAAAATGGTTCTATATAGAAACATGAACACTCCAAGAACCCTTTGTGCCATTAAAAGGTTCTTTGCATTATGAAAGTGTTCTTTAGACTGGTGGAGAATTTGCTGTAGATGGATATATATATAGAACCCTTTTGACTTTAGTCATGCAAAGGGTTCTTTAAGTGTTCATGGTTCTGTATAGAACCATTTTTTTTACTAAAGAACCCTTGAAGAACCATCTTTTATAAGAGTATAACTACTAAGACTCTCAACCACAATGTTACATCATATCCAGAACTGAAAGTGGGTTCTGTAAAGCACCAAAAAGGGTACTTCTATTGTTATGATGTCATGCTTGTAATAATAGAAAAAACACTTTTTGGTGTTTTTATTTATAGAACCATTTTCAAAAAGGTTCTATATAGAGCCATGTACAGCACAATCTCCATCAGTCTGAAGAACCCTTTCATGATGCAAAGAACACTTTAATCATGCAAAGGGTTATTTAAGTGTTCATGGTTCTATATGGAACCATGTTCCTTACTAAAGAACACAAAGAACCATCATTTTTAAGTGTGTACATTTTGGAGCATAGTAATATTTAAACAGTCATATTTAGGTCCGCACTCTATAAGTTATTATTGAGTATAAAATGACAAAAACTGTTAAAATGGCAAATTATTCCAAACTTGTGAACACCTGCCTACCAATCACAATAATAGACCACACCTACCAGATACCAGAGACAGTCATCTTACAGTCGTATCAGTTCTATTGAAATACTCACAGCGCCCTCTGCTGGTGCTCCTCATTGTTCTGAGCTCCATGTCGTTCTCTGAGCAGGAAAAACAGAACATCTTTCATTCCAGCTTTCATTGTATTGTAAAGTGTTCATTATACTGTAAATGGTGTTCAACAGTTTTACCGTAAACAGCCTCTTCTTCTGTGTCTCTTTTGCCTGAAGTTTAGATCAGGAAAAATCACAGCATTGGTCATTTTGATAGACACAACATGGAAAGATAAACTGGACAAGAGACTTACTCTGATGAAAATAAGTGTTCGTATACAAAGAGTCTGCTGACATAACTGAAGGTATAATTTAGAAATATCTTTGGCCAAACGTTTCGTTCGGCTGCACTATTAAAGTACTTTCCTGAATCGATTCACTGCCTGTTTTCTATCAATCAAGTGCTGAGTGGGTCCAGCATCCCAGATCAAAGAACCATTTAATGTAGTGAAGATAATGAAGAATAAAGGGTAAAACTAAAGCATTTAAAACATTTACTCAGTATTTTAAATTGATCTCTGATGTCTACACGTATGTGACTTTGGTCGCGGTGAAAAATGCCCAGATGTGGTTTTACAGGCCCATTTCCAACCCTGTGATTTGAGCTCTATGAAATGAGCTCTTTCACTTTTTTGGTGGGCTCATGAGTAATTTGATGAGCTCTGATCTGATTGGCTGGTTTACAACTAGGCACCTCACACAGAAATAACATGTCGAAATAGGAAACGAACCTAAGTGCAAAAAAGCTGCTATCAAGCTATTTAACTGGCTTTGCTAGTTATGTGGAGCTTGCTAGTAGCTAACATTACCTATACTAGCTACTTGCTTCCGATCTCAACAAAAAGAAGAAGTAAATTAAAATTATTTAACCGTCAAAAAGTGGACAGAATCACACAGCTTGGCTACAACTTGCAGGTTGCAACTTTATTGATGCTGATGAAGTTGGAACTCGCTCTCTTCAGTCTCTTCAGTGTGAAACTCTGAGTGAAGCTGCTCAATACTGTCAAAGGTTTGAGAAACTGTAGTTGGCTTCCTATTTACCAGCTTGTTTTGCTAATTTCCCGTTCAATCTTAAATGGTGCCACAGTTACATTTTGGCGCATATACAAGCTACACTATATTGCCAAAAGTATTCGCTCGTCTGCCTTCACACGCATATGAGCTTGAGTGACATCCCATTCTTAATCCATAGGGTTTAATATGATGTCGGCCCACCCTTTGCAGCTATAACAGCTTCAACTCTTCTGGGAAGGCTTTCCACAAGGGTTAGGAGTGTGTTTATGGGAATTTTTGACCATTCTTCCAGAAGCGCATTTGTGAGGTCAGACACTGATGCAGTCAGACAAGTACCGTTCTCCTGGCAACCGCCAAACCCAGACTTGTCCATCAGATTGCCAGATGGAGAAGCGTGATTCGTGACTCCAGAGAACACGTCTCCACTGCTCTAGAGTCCAGTGGCGGCGCTTTACACCACTGCATTCAACGCTTTGCATTGCGCTTGGTGATGTACGGCTTGGATGCAGCTATTCGGCCATGGAAACCCATTCCATGAAGCTCTCTATGCTGTTCTTGAGCTAATCTGAAGGCCACATGAAGTTTGGAGGTCTGTAGCGATTGAATCTGCAGAAAGTTGGCGACCTCTGCGCACTATGCGCTGACCCCGCTCTGTCATTTTACGTTGCCGACCACTTACCACTGACAGTTGACTGTGGAATATTTGTGAAAATTTCACAACTGGACTTGTTGCACAGGTGGCATCCTATCACGGTACCACACTGGAATTCACTGAGCTCCTGAGAGTGACACATTCTTTCACAAATGTTTGTAGAAGCAGTCTGCAGGCCTAGGTGCTTGGTTTTATACACCTGTGGCCATGGAAGTGATTGGAACACCTGAATTCAATGATTTGGATGGATGAGTGAATACCTTTGGCAATATAGTGTGTATCAGTTAAGGTGGAACGGAACTTTCGATTATGAAGCTGGGAAATAAGATGCCAACTTCAGCCTCCTTTAAAGATGAAAATCGACCGTGCCCATTGAGAGTTAGGCTTCTTGGGAAGGGTATGAAAGTGCCAACATCCTCTTTCCAGCCTGGAACAGTACGTCTGCTATTTTCATTGCTGCTGCTCCGTTGTTATTTCATTCTCCACAATACCTGCTGGGCTACAATGTGAGCTGATGTATGTTAATTTTGGGGGTGTTAATATTAATGAGTCAAGACTATCACATAACAGTTTAAGATTTCATAACTGGCCCATTTTAACATCCCTTTTGCAAGTGTGGGGTTTGCATCTGAAGGAGGAGACGACCCTGTTTGAGGTTCACAGTATGTAAGTTCCATGTACCAAACTCTCCTTATTCAACTATGTCAATGTAAATACAGTTCTATGTTCATTCTATGGCACCTTTATAGTGAAAGGTGGGCTGTGACAACCCAATCCTGAAATTTGACCCCAAACTGAGTCTGACACATATCTGAGAATGGCCGTCCAAACTAGACATGAGCAATCGGGTCCCATAGGGACTGGAAAATATTTGAAACTCTACTATAACTCGCCTGTATTCATGCACAGCTTATGCTAGCCCTTCATCAGTGGCCAGGTTCTAACCTCCCTTCCGCTCACATCGGTTTTCTTAACCACAGTGATGGTGAGGTTTTTAAAAACTACAGCAACACACACTGCCATGCCACCTCGTTGGTATGCTGAGAATAGACTCTAGTGGTCTTGTGGTGGATCCTTTCCACCGATGGGTGGGGTAGAGGGGGCTGAGAAATTGTGACACAACAAATGAGCTACATTCAACAACAGTAAATGTATAGAGTGCAACAGTATGGTAGGTGTTTCTGGTAAAGTGGCCAATGAGTGTAGCTACAAGGTAGGTTTACCTAATAAACTAGCAACCCAATGTCAGTTAAGCTTCACAATGTAGTTTGAAACTGAGCTACAACACAGAGAATCCAGCATATGTTGTATTTTGGACTTTTGAGACATTTTAGCTGCTAAGACTGATCTCTCATGAACACGCCTACCTTTCACACATATAGAAATAGAAACTCCTATCTGAGGCAATTTGAAATAATAACTGTATATTCAAACACTCACGTTTACTCGCTATGTAGCAAACACATGCTGTGAACAGTAGCAGTACTACTGCTCCTCCTGATGTTCCTGCTATGATGGCTTTCTGGTATTCAGAAACAGCAGCAAGACCTGTAGGTAAATAATCCACTCAGTTGAGAATGTAAAACTATCCTTATATGCAAGCAAAACTGAATGAATTATGAAATACACAAAATGTTACATTGCATTTTGTTGCCATATGGCAACAGCAAGTGACAATGGAACTGCAATCTGCAGTACATACAGTGGGTAAACACTGCCATAGAACACTGTCACATTCATCATTCATGCATGAAAAATAACATTGAAAACCAACATATATGCATGTTTTTTTAGAATAGTGTGAAAAAAAATGATCTTGATAATTTTGGGTATGTATTGTCAGCATGTACGCTAACTATGATCACATAGAGGGGGATAACTATTAAATGTATATCTGTGTCCTAAACTGGAGTTCAAAAAATGATTATAAGATACAGAGAAAGTGAGACTTCTAACAATTACTCCAGCAGCACTGCTGTGTCTGATCCACTCATACCAGCACAACACACGCTAACACACCACCACCACATCAGTGTTACTGCAGTGCTGAGAATGATCCACCACACAAATAGTACCTGCTCTGTGAGGGTCCATGGGGGTCCTGACCACTTAAGAACAGCGTAAAAGGGGGCTAACAAAGTATGCAGAGAAACAGATGGACTACAGTCTGTAATTGTAGAACTACGAAGTGCACCTATATAGTAAGTGGAGCTGATAAAATGGACAGTGAGCGTAGAAACAAGGAGGTGGTCATAATGTTATGTCTGATCGTATATATATATATATATATATATATATATATAAATTCTTTTTCTATTTTATTCCTGATGCTGAAAAATGATACATGAGATAATGTACTTAATGGAAAGTTTGCTTTGTGACTAGTATATCTAGGCAGTGTCCAGTGTGTTCAAAGGCAATGCGTTCATTAACATTAACAAGTTTGTATTGTCACAAGCTGTTAACATATGGCAACAGTTATATTTCATCATATAAAAGCCGTAGCACCTAAAGTGGATTCATTAATCTATTATGTGTATGTATGAATATGTATGTATACACACACTTTGAGAGACCTTCAGCAGTCAGGCCTCACTATGTGAAGCGAAAAAAGACACACAGGAAGGCTGTTCAGATAAAAGTACAGTTTTACACACAGAGCCCACAGATTACCAAAGGAAAAGAAAAAATGTGGACTTTTATATCGTAGTTAGGCTAAAAAAATAAAAGAAAGTAATAGTTGCCATATGGAAACACTCTGTAGTAAAGAGTTCAGCCACAAGTACAGAACTGTTTTTCTGTTTTAGAGCCACAGTCAGATGTAAATATAATGTACATGAATGGAAATGCAAAAACTAACCAAGCTGCACTTCCTGATAGGCGATCATGCAGTTGATTCCCTCATGAAGCTCACAGCGGTAGAGACCCAGATCAGACTGCTGTACATTACGGAGGAGGATGGAGAAGTTTCCAGATTCTGAGAGTTTGGGGAACGTCTTAATACGTCCACCTCTGTTATTCCAGAACATTACTTCACCCTGCAGATTGATCTCCACTAGATTATCTGAAGGTATAATTGCCTGACTCCACACTGCTGCTATATCTGCAGTCTTGTTTGATCCGAGGAGGGTTGGTTTAAAGATACATGGCAGCAGAACATCAGACTGAAGCTCAGTGGTTAAGTTGCTTCTGCCAACATACTGCATTTGACATCCTCTAGATCCTGTGTGAAAGCATGAAAACCATCATCAGCCATAAAAACCACCAAAACCATCATTAAGAAACAGCTAATGTAGATGTTTATGAGAATACAGCTCACCTTTGACCAAACAGCACCACCAAAGCATCCACAAACCAAAGAATCTCAGCTCAAAGAGCAGAACCATTGCGTGTTTCACCTGCTTACCCCTGCAGTATCTGGAAAATAGCCTGAGAAAGTGCAGCGATGGCAAGAGATTATTCTTAACTTCACTTCCTGAAAAAAGCTCAAACTAACAAACCACAGATACCCAGAAGCCGTTGCCACAGAGTGGGGGATTCACAAAAATAGTGCATGATATTAACCTGGAATTAACACTGTATGCTTAGTGAGTTTATCTGAAAAGTCACTAGAGGTGATAAACAGTGATAAACAGTTTACAAATAGCTGATTAAAATCTTTCTGGTTCAACACTTTTGACTTTAATCACAAATTCACAAGGACCAAGAAACACAAGTCCACCTTTCATTTATATAATTTCCAGTCCAAACAGCAAAGTTATTCATTTTTCAGAGTCAGGACAAAACCAGCTGTAGCATTGAGTAGTAGCATTGTTGAGTCAGGAGGGAAAAAAACACTGAAGCATTGTGTGCGTGTGCTGCTGTGAGTCACCCTGTAAAGCCTGAGGTCATAACTCAGTAAGTAAAAAAAGTCAGAGGCATCCGGTCGTGAGTTTCACACCACGTCATACATCTTTACATAATATTGTCACGCACAGACTCAAAAAGAAGGTCCAGCTCAATGTTTAGGTCTTACATGCAATTCACTCACATCCTCAGACGACACGTCACTAAGTTTTGAGTTTTCTTTCAACACACTCATCTGCTCGGAGAGGAAGTCTAAAGCACAGCCAACATTACGAAGTGTTCTTCTGCACGTTGCTGCAATTACACATTTCCACCAGAGAGGTCTTCAAAACATACAATTAACAGAAAATTACACAGAAATATCAACACTCAAATATTTATTGTTTCAATATACAGTGTTCTCACCCTTTACCTTACACTGAAGAGGCTTTAGCTTAGGGTTTCATCCAATCTCCCAAATCTCCTGACACTACAGAATTTTTCTTTGTTAAAAGGAAAGATGGGGGCTTTAGGTCGTGTATAGAGTATAGAGGTTTGAAACAAGCAACCAAAAAGTATGCTTATCCCCTTTGAACGCCAACGGCCTTGGAACAATTGCATTAAGCAAAAATTCTCACCAGGTTAGACTTGCACAGTGCTTATAACTTGGTTAAAGAGGGAAATGGAAGATGGAAAACTGCCTTTGTCATCAGTAGGGGGCACTACGAGTATGTCAAGTCAAGTCAAGTCAAGAGGCTTTTATTGTCATTCCATCTATGTATAAGTACACAGTGGAGCGAAATTATGTTCCTCCAGGAACACGGTGCAACAAGGAACAAAAAGTACAAAAGTACAAAGTGCGAACGTGCAGACAGTGTGCAAACAAAAATTAAGCTAGAAACAATACAATAAATACGATAAATTAAACAGACATTAGACACAGTAAACAGATCGGACAGTGCAGCGCCAACACAGCACAGATTTCTGGACATGAAGTAGTGGAATAAGGTGCAGACATATTTAAAATGATGTGTGTAAGTTACGTCAGATAACGTACATATACACAGCAGTTACTGAGGTAGTAAAACAGTTACTGAGGTAGTGAAAACAGTGTAAACACAGTGTAAACACAGTATTGGCAACAATGTTCCAGATAGTTTCATATTAAATAAGCACTAGGTCTAATGTTATTCACTACCAATACACAAGCAGCATTTTCTTGGACCCCCACAGAACAGGTACTATTTGGGTGGTGGGTCATTCTCAGCACTGCAGTAACACTGACGTGGTGGTGGTGTGTTAGTGTCTCTTGTGCTGGTCCGAGTGGATCAGACACAGCAATGCTGCTGGAGTTTTTAAAACTCTCAGTGTCACCGCTGCACTGAGAATAGTCCACCGAACAAAAATATCCAGCCAACATCCTGTGTGCAGTGTCCTGTGGGCAGTGTCCTGTGACCACTGAAGAAGGACTAAATGATGACCAACACAAACTGTGCAGCGACAGATGACCTACTGTTTCACACACGGTGGACCAACAAGTTATTTTATATTATTATAATTAATTATACATCATCTAAACCGCTTTTCCTTCTGGGTCGCGGTGGGGTGCTGGAGCCTATCCCAGCTGTCATTGGGCGAAAGGCAGGATACACCCTGGATAGGTCATCAGTCCATCGCAGTAATTAATTATAATTATATTATAATTATATTATATTATAATTATTATACTCTTGGCCCAAACAATAAGCACTGCAAATCTTATTACATATCAGTCACAAAAATACTGATACTGGCAAGCTACATTTTTAGACAACCATATTCTAACAACAAGGTGTTAACCAAAGGAAGCTGCAGAGCTCTGTTCTCACGACCAGAGCAGATGCACTCTAGTAGTTTGTTTGTAACGTGTGTTGGCATCAAGCTAACACCCACCTTCACACTCACTCCCTCCCAAACAATGACCTCAGCTACTTCACAGTGCCTACCACGATAACACACATCCTGTTTATCAGAGATTAGATCTATTTTCACCAATGACACTTGCAAACTGACACTTCATCTGGTTTTAAAGGAGATTTTTGCTGAAGCACCAAAGATTGTTTTTAGGAGAGCATCTACCATAAAAGACTAACTGATTACACAGCTTTTCTTGAGTGAACTCGATTTGAGGATACAAGAGTTGATCCAAGTCCAACTACATAGTTTAGTCAGAAGTTCTCACATTTTTAGTACTGCATCTCTGTTAGGTGAACAAATTGGTTTTGGCTCCATTTCTCTGCGAGCTCTTTCCATCACACAGTCCCACCAGACACCTTCTCCTCTTGGGCTCCCAGTTATGGAAGGTTGTGGCATCACTGAGGTTCAAACTCATGATCTCCTGATGTCAAAGTGAACATTTAGACACTTGCTGTGCTTTACTACACGCTACCTTTCAGTTAAAATGTGTTTTTTATTGTATTAAGCATTAATGGACACAGAAATCTGCATAACTTCAGGTGCTTGAGTGCTGCAACAGACTAAGGATTCACCCCAACATCAGGAGACTGTGAGTTTGAACCCCAGTGAAGTGAGAGACTTCCATATCTGGGAACCTGGGAGGAGAAAATGCCTGGTGGGAGCTAAAACATTACAGTGTGAGGAGAACTTTTGACTAAACCAAGAAGTTTGAGTTCAGTGAAATCTAGTCAGGCCTGACAGCTTAAAAGAGAAGCCACCTTGTACTCCAGCCACGGTTCTCAGAGTTCTTTTCATGCAGTGAAGTTCTCAGAGTTCTTTTCATGAAATGGAGTGGTCCAAACTGATTAAAATACAATAAATATTAAAAGCATTGTCATTACATCTTCCTGTAGTAGTGCAGCACAAAGCACAACCGCCATTTTCGTGGTGCTGTTTTTTTTTTCCTTTGTGACGTTCGTGTGCAGAGAACTGTGGGTAACCGAAGGCTGGGAAGGATACATCTGATGCGTCCTTGAGATCACTCAGAATGTAGGCTGCAGGCTGCATTTCTAGGCTGTATACGAAGGATCCTTCACTTTGGAACGGTCTGCAATGACATAGTGGCCGAGAAATGAAGCCTAGACTTTGGAATGCAACTGTTGAAATGTAATTCCAAAGAAAATTGTGACAAAATAATCTGACAACGTTCTAGGAAGTTGTGACAACATAGTGGCAACGTTGTCAGTGCACTGTCACAACCTTCTAGATGTGCATTATGTTCTGTATGGAACTCCATGGAATTTTGCTGAGCTGCCAACTGATAGTATTCCGATGACATCACACTCGCACTGCCACCATTTTAGTAGGCAACATATGTTAATTCAGCTGTGCTGTGGTGCTTTGTAATGACATAAAGCCATAACTGCACCAGCAAAAGGTAAGGCACTTTTTTGGGATCACTATTTTAAATCTTATTTTTAACGTGTATTAACAGATCTGAATAAAAGGCAGAGTTTACTGCTTAAGAGCTTTGGCAGAACTGGTGAACAGCCACAAACTGCCAACAACAAAAAAGTCAGACGATAGACATGAAAGAAATGAGCTGGTGGATCAAACCACTTTTATTTCTTAGCGGGGGGATAATGGAAACAACAGGTAGATAAGCAGAACTTGAAAGATGATCATGGAAAATGCTTGGAAATTTGGCACAAAATCTTTCCATAGTAATAACTTACCAAATAATTTTACTTTGAGCTGACTTCTTACTTTTTTACAGTGTGTTACTCAAAGCTGAATATTTTGTGATTTGAAAGTTATTAAGATAAAACAAATGGCTTCATAAAAGTGGAGACTCAGAATGTGTTGTGTATCATTTAGTATGTCCATGTGGCTGTTTCTATATCAGAAAAGCTAAGAGGAAACTAAAAGAAGGATTTGCAGGGCATAAATACGCTAAAACAATATTCTTTAGTGAAACATTACAAAGAGAAACATCAGAGTAATTCTTCATCTTAAAGACTGCAGGTCCAGAGATGGTAAAGACGAGTATCTGTGGGGGTGACAGACTGAAGCACCGACTCCAACATGACAGCATTCTGGATTTGGTAGTTCATGGCTACCGAGCTCCCTGAGTTGAAGGAAGGATTAGATTTTGGGCCTTTTTTGTAAGCCATGTAGAATTTTATGTTGGCCTTGATACTCTGTGCCTTTTTTTATTGCTCTGGATTTATTCTTGTACTCGTTCTTTGGGTCTTTTATTGCCTGTTAATTAGATGTGTAGACAACTTGAATGATTGCCAAAAAGGCTTAAATACACAAACTTTATTTAGAGGATCTTCTGCTCTTCCAAAATTGTGTATGACATAATTTTCATTTTTTGAAACAAAGTTTAAAAAAAATTATTAGGAAAACGTTTCATTCATAATATACAGTAAACACCAGTCAGAAAACGTGACTATCAGAACTAGGCCTTGAGTTCAGGCCATGAAAATGTAAACTCAGTCAAAAACTAGTAAAAAACAAAAACAAACACAAAAAAACTAACATTTCTGCACCTCTGTAATTTCTGTTAGCAGCCTTAATGGGATTCTAGTAGTATTTAGCGTTAAGCTAACATTGGCTGCTCTTAAACACAGAC